AGAAAAGGACGATGGATGGGAGATGAGAGCTTGATCGGAAGGAGGAGAGAGAGTGTGAGTGAGTGAAGTAATCAGGTGTGAGCTCCAGGTTGCTGCGGCGGTCGGTTCGAGCTGTTGGCGCTAGTGGTGCCAAGCCCAACACCAGCACAAGAAATTCCCAGAGCCGCCTCCACGGTCTGGATCTCCTTCGTCACATTACCCCCCCATCTTTCCTCTTATTTTCAATTTTCGGTACGGTGTTTGGATAAGAGACAACTTTCAAAATGGCTACGGCAGTCTCTCAGGGGGCCGCTGGCAACAACACCTTCAAGGTGCGTCCGTGTCACAGAGAGAAATACTTGGCGTGGGACGGGTTCTAATAGTCGGACAGGACAAGGAGAAGCCTATGGCAGTGCGGACGTCCAACATTCTGGCCGCTAGAGGTATTGATTATGTTCTGAACCTATGGGGAGTATGGTGCTGACATGAGAACAGCCGTCGCCGATGCCATCAGAACGGTATGGATATTGCAATAGTATGCATCCCAAATGAGGGGCTAACATATCAATTAGTCTTTGGGACCTAGAGGAATGGATAAAATGGTACGCCTGCCGTTATCTCTCTCTTTCTCTCTCCGAGGATATGTGGCTAATACGATTTTAGATCCAAACACCCAAGGGCAACACGATTATCGTACGAATCCTACTCCCGAGCCAACAAATCGATACTAACCCCCGCAGACCAACGATGGAAACACTATGTTGAAGGATATGAGCGTTATGCACCCCGCAGCCCGGATGCTCGTCGACCTGAGTGCCGCTCAGGATGTTGAGGCTGGTGATGGAACTACATCGGTTGTCGTAATCGCAGGAAGCTTGCTGGGTGCCGCAGAGCGTCTCTTGTCCAAGGGCATCCACCCCACCGTCATTTCGGAGTCATTCCAAAGAGCTGCAGCCGCAGCCGTCGAGATTCTTCACAACATGTCCCGCCCTATCAGCTTGGTCGACCGTTCCACTCTTCTCCAGGCGGCCTCTACGTCTCTTTCATCGAAAATCGTCTCGCAGCACTCTGGCCTCCTTGGCCCTATGGCCGTCGATTCGGTGCTGAAGGTTGTGGATCCTAAGACTGCTGAGAATGTTGACCTTAGGAATATCCGGATTGTTAAGAAGGTTGGCGGCACAATTGAAGACAGTGAGATGGTTGATGGTTTGGTGTTGAACCAGTCCGTTATCAAGAGCAGTGGCGGTCCCACAAGAATCGAGAAGGCCCGGATAGGTCTGATTCAGTTCCAGCTTAGCCCACCTAAGCCTGATGTGGGTTATTTCTTTTCAAAGATAGTGTATGCATTACTGACGAAGATGAACCACAGATGGAAAACCAGATTGTCGTGAACGACTACCGCCAGATGGACAAGATCCTCAAGGAGGAGCGTCAGTACCTTCTCAACATGGTTAAGAAGATCCAGAAGACGAAGTGCAACGTCCTTCTCATTCAAAAATCCATTCTCCGTGATGCCGTGAACGACCTCTCCCTCCACTTCCTCTCTCGTCTCAAGATCCTTGCCATCAAGGACATCGAGCGTGATGAAGTTGAGTTCCTGTGCAAGAGTCTTGGCTGCAAGCCCGTCGCCAACGTTGACTCTTTCACCGAGGACAAGCTGGGCACTGCAGACCTTGTGGAGGAGGTTCAGTCATCCGGGGCTCGCTATGTGAAGATCACTGGCATCAAGTCCGCCCCTACCACCAACCAGACCGTGTCGATCGTCGCTCGCGGTGCCAACAACCTCATCTTGGACGAGGCGGAGCGTTCCCTGCACGACGCCCTCTGTGTTATCCGCTGCCTGGTCAAGAAGCGTGCCCTTATTGCCGGTGGTGGAGCACCCGAAATCGAAGTCGCTCAGGCCCTCGCAAAGCGCGCTCGTGAGCTCACCGGCACAGAGGCTATCTGCTGGAAGGCCTTTGCGGATGCGATGGAAATCATCCCCACCACGCTGGCTGAGAACGCCGGTCTCAACTCTATCAAGGTGGTTACCGACTTGCGTCACCGCCACGCCCAAGGTCAGCACAACGCCGGTGTCAGTATCCGCAGCGGCGGTGTGAAGGACGATATCACCGAGGAGAACATCCTGCAACCTCTTTTGGTGAGCACCAGCGCGATCGAACTCGCTGCCGAGACCGTTAAGATGATCATGAGAATTGACGACATTGCCTTGTCGAGGTGATTTACGGCGGGGATAAATATTGAAAAGTGGAATGTATAGAAAAGGGTAGTGGTTGTATCATGACGAGTAATTCTTCCAAAATCAGATGATTATTTAAGCTACCTACATACCTACTTAGCTGCTTACCGGGAATTATAATATGCTTCATATGTATCGTACATGCTAACAGCCCTATATCAAAAGGCTAACGTCAAAACCCTCGCCATATTTCATGCAGCAGCTTCATTGAGTCAGTCCCTTATGGTTTACATTTTCTGATACCCCCAGAGCTTAGCAATGCGTGGTGTCCATATTACCTTTACGTCGGAATTGGCCAAAAGTGTCACCTTGATGGGAACTACGTACTATAGTTAACTGAATTCATTTCTAGGGACCATTACGCCCATATGTGATGAAGGGAAAGGGGTATAGATTGCAAGACACATGAGAAACTTATAACGCAAGCAGATCATAACGCCAAAGATCAACAACCACATCAAAGGAAATAAGAACAGCTCGGCCAGGAACTTTTCCTCCAAGACACCCCGAGACAGCCCATACATCACTTGGATGTAATCAAAAGAGGTTGCTATGCAAACAGCACCAAGAGAGATAAAGAAAGTATAGTATAGGAACTGCCCAATCAAAAGAAAGAAATATAAAGAATGGCGGGGAAAAAATATGTGCACCCAAGTTCTCGTCACACACCATATCATCGATAAATCGTAACCAACGCCCGTTCGGCTCATAAATACCTTTTAGATCCATCTGGTTCACTTGTCGTTCTCATACGAAGCATTTCATGCAATCACACCTGATCCAGCAGCTCCAGAGCTCCATCGGAACCGCTTCAAGCCTCCCTTAATGGCCTCTTGACCACAAGCCGCGGACGTTCTGCCACCAGAAAAATTGCCATCACCCATGACAGACCCGACCCCTGTGCTTGCCTCCATCCGTCCGACCTCACGGCCAATCACATAACCTGCTGAGAAGCTGATTGCTGAGAAGAGAACCACGACACCAGCGCTGATAACCCATGTCATTATCGTAGGACTAGCTGTCGAGTCTGCGGTAGTTGCTCGACGATTCTTCCTAGATGCCGAGGCGTGGTGTTCTCTCGGGGAACTGGACCGCCGTCTCACCTTCGGAGCGGAGGGAGAAGAGCGTGGTGAATAAGTAGCCACGGGTGGGTGCATGGGCCGTCTAGATGTATTAGTCTCGACAGCCGATGTGGGCACCTCTTCAGATATATGTTCCCCCATTGCAACTGACTCCGACACCAGTCGGAACGAAGCAGGCTGTGCTCGAGAAGGTCCCGAGGGTGGCGTAGGTTGCGGATCAGATTTCGGCAGACCCCGTGCAGCGGCCGCACAGGAAAGAAGGGTGGAGAGACTGGAGCGGAGGGCGGCATCGTGGTCTGCATGGTAAGACGGTGAAATCATATTGTACGGGCTATGCTGTTGTGATTGCCTGCGAGCTGGTCTTATGCTGGCTTGAGAGTTCCGTCGGATGGCCGTTTGACGGCTGGAGTTCGATACCTCGCTAGGCTGGGGACGACGCCTCTCAACTGGCCTGGTCCAGGCTGGGTTCTCCGATGCTGGCGGATGGGTGAAGACATTTGGCTGCGGGACAAACGGGGATGAGCTGATCCGCATCCCCAGCGCTGTTGAGGCATCATCCTCATCACTTGAGGGACTATCCGGCATCGACGGAGGCCCAGGGTGAGCTAATAGCGGACCTCCAAGGGATCTCTGAGGCATGTCTTCATTGGAACTTGTCATAACGCGGTCCGATTCACTTTCACTTTCCTCGTACTCGTCTTGACTACTACTTTGTTCACGGGACGAATAGTCAACCTGCGCCGCTGTGACAGCAGCCAGGCGCTGCAGACGCCGTCGCCGATTACGATGATGGTATGATCTCGATCCATGTTGCTCGACACGTAGACCCGTTGTGATGATGTCATCATTGGTAGCAATGGAGGAAAGCGACGAGGAGGATGGCTGCGAGGCGACCTCGATCCACGAGTCTATGTAATACTGAAGTGAGTACATATTGTTATAACAGAAACGGTGATGCCTGGAATAAGGGGTGTAACGATATGCATGTTGTACGTGTAGGGAAGTTGTAGGAGAGGGGACAACGAAGTAAAGGGGGCGTCTATTTGTCGCAGAACGAAGTACTTACCTTCGGATCTCGTGGGAGCGACACCAGATGGAGAACGTGACAGGAAGGGATTCCGATGATGAGCGTCTCGTGGCGCTCGTTGAGGCTCATCTGGTTGTACCTGACTTAGCAGGTCATAATGGTTTGGTTGCATAGCGTTGTGTATCTGGTCGTTCAGAAGTATTGGGGAGAAACAAAGTGGTGAGATGGCAGAGAAGACAGGCCCCGAAAAATACAATATAAAGTCGATGAAGATGGATGGGAAGGAGGGGTGTTTGCTGATCAATATCACATCCACATAATCAGACCACTTGTGGCTGTAAGGGAACCGTCCGAAGCGGTCAAGAATGGTAGACTGACCATAAGCCCAGGAAGGGGGGTGAGTGTAGGAAAGTGGGGGGAAGTGCGTGGGGAAAACCAAGTAAGTGGATTGATGGATGAGTTTATTTGCGCCTGATTATCTTATCAGGAGCGGATACCACAATTTAATCACTTTAATTAGTTCACATCGCCCATCAAAACCACGACCTTGACAGAGGACGAGTCAAGGTGGTTGGTTGGTTGGTGGGGATGCGGGAGTAGGGAAGATGAGAGGACGTGGAGTACTGGCTGGTCGAGGGAGAAGTAGAAAAGAAGTAAGTACTGGCAATATGGAAAGAATGATGTCGACGCACAGCTGACTGCCTCGTGCTGGTTTAAGTTCAATCAGCAGATCACCACTGGGAGCCACTCACAGTTCACCCGACATCGGCAGAGGACCAAGTAATGACCACAGACTCTCCAAAGCAACCCGGGAATGCCACCAAAGGAGATCAAAAGACAAAGGCCAACAAGAAAGCCTAGAAGAGGAACAAAGCTGAGAATGACCGGAACTGTCCATGGGAGCCACTTACCTGACACCAATATTGGCGTTTGCCAAGGCTAAAGCCTCATACCTCTCTTTACACCGGGTTTGAGGACCGACACTATGTGGACAAAAAACAATCACGAAAAAACCACATTCCTATTGAATCAATAACGATCATCCATTATTTCATTCTATCCAATTACAATAATCATGCAAAACCACAAGAACTTTTCGAGTGCTCAAAGCCAGTCAGTAGCAACAACCCGTACGTAATCATACAAACGATCCTGAATCCTGTTCAACGGCGATTAAAGAAAACAACGGTTCGTCAAGGTATCGTGTGGAATTAGAAGGTGACCTTAGTACCCTTGTACTCGGGGATACCGCCACGGGCCTTGTTGGGGGGTCCACCACCACGTCCACCAAAGCCGCCGCGGCCACCGCGACCACCACCACGGGGACCACCTCCGCCACGTCCGCCAAAGCCGCCACGGCCACGGCCACCGCCGCCGCCGCCGCCGCCGTTGTTGGCACGGGGAGTGCTGAAGTCCAGGCGGACCGGGCGACCATCGATCTCAGCACCGTTCAGCTCGTTGAAGGCTGCGCGAGCTTCCTCAACCGACGAAAACTGGACGTATCCGAAGCCCTTGGGACGGCCCGACTCGGGGTCGGTCGGCAGGCGGATGCCCATGACGCTTCCCTTCTGACCGAAGACCTCGTGGAGAGAATCCTCGTTAGCACTGAAGGGGATGTTGCCGACGAAGAGAGTATCGCTCTCAGGGCTGGCCTGGTCACCGAATGAACGGGCACGAGCCTGAGCCCGGTCCTGGAAGCCACCCTGGTCCCTGTTGGCGGGACGTCCGGTAGCGTAGTCAAGGTTGATCTTGCGACCGTCGATTTCGGTGTCCTTCTTAGCCTCAAAAGCCTTAGCGGCGTCGACAGCATTGGTGTATTCGACATAACCGAATCTGAAAGCGTTAGTACGTCATCGTGAAGGACTCGATAGAGAATTACTCACCCGCGAGAGCGGCCAGTGTCGCGCTCAGTCATGATACGAACACCAGAGAGCTCACCAAATTCCTCGAACTCACTCTGAAGCCAGGCCTCATCCACGTTCCAGGAGAGATTTCCAACGAAGAGATTGGCGGATGCACCGGCAGCAGGCTCTTCAGTCTTGGTCTTCTTGGTAGTGGTAGAGACATCCTCCTCAGCCTTGCGCTTCTTGGAGTCCTTGGCAGACTCTTCGCTGTCTTCAGATTCAGACTCGGAAGAGTCGGAGTCGGAGTCAGAGTCACTGGAATCGGAAGACTCCTAGAACCATTAACATCTGGAATGACATAGAATATGACAATACTACATACCTTCTTAGCCTTCTTGGGAGCCTCCTCGCTGTCAGACTCGGACTCGGACTCAGACGAGTCGCTGTCACTGGCCTCCTTGGCAGCCTTCTTGGGAGCCTCTTCCTCATCAGAAGAGTCCGACTCAGAGTCAGAGGACTCGGCAGCCTTCTTCACCTCCTTCTTAGCAGGCTTCTCTTCCTCTGACTCGGATTCAGACTCAGACTCAGACGAGTCAGAAGACTCAGAAGACTCCTTGGCCTTCTTGGACTCCTTGGCCTTCTTGGACTCCTTCTTAGGCTCCTCCTTCTGCTTCTTGGCGGGCTTCTCCTCCTCACTCTCACTGCTGGAAGCGTCCTCCATCTCTTCGTCGCTGTCAGAGTCGGACTCCGATTCAGAGGAAGATTCGGAAGAGGACTCAGCGGCCTTCTTCACCTCCTTCTTGGCAGGCTTCTCATCCTCACTTTCACTCTCGCTGCTGGAGCTGGAAGACTCCATCTCCTCATCGCTGTCAGACTCAGAGCTGCTGCTGGGAGTAGGCTCCTTCTTCTTGCGCTTAGACTTCTCGCCCTTGGAAGCGACCTCGCGAGCAATCTGCTTGCTCTTGGCCTTAGGAGACTGGGAAGCCTTGGAGACACCAGAATCCTTGACCTTGCTCAAGGCCTTATCAACGGGCTTCTCAGCACCCTTCTTGGTAACGGACTTAGTCTTGGACATTTTGAATCTGGCGAAACCGACAGTTAGCTCAGGATAAAATAGACATGCGGCTAGAAGGTAATACAAACCAAAATATGATAGACTTAAAGTATAAATCAAAGCAAAGATTGTCTAATGATAGATCCCACGAATGTGCGGCAAATCGTACAATCCCTCAATCACCCGATTTCAGAGAAGAGATTTCTCAGATACCCACAAATAACCCACAACGACAGTGTTCAAGCCCACAAGAGACGGACAGGAAATACGCAACTGTATAATGAAACCCACGAGAGTAACCCACAGATCCCACAAGAGATATTGCAATATGCCACAGCCCACAGCCCTCTGTATTAAGCCCACAGGATGTCTGTTGAAAGTGAATACGGGGGGGAGATTGGTATGATTCACTCGGTAGGAATACTACTAAGTGAAAAGATAATGAAATAGAAAAGGCAAGGATAAATAATAAGTGAAGATAGAAAGAGGAAGAGGAAAAGAAAATTTCAAAAGCTGGAGCTTTGATAAGATGTGGACCCGGGCGGAAAACAGAGAAAAAAAAAAAAAAAAACGGGGCTGGCAGAAATTCCTGCACACCGCCTACCAGACCCAGGGACAGACCAAGAAGGTCCTCCGTACCTGTAAGCGGCCAATCAATCACCCGGCAGAATTATTTGAGCATTTTCTCAGGTGGTTCAACCGCTGTATCATTTGTATTGTCAGGATCATCCTCCCATTGTGTTAACAACGGCAATTCTATATCCCTTAGAAATCTAATTCGATAGTCATATATAAAAACATTTACAATAGAGAATTTTAAATCAAACTGGGCTTTTTTGGTCAAGATAAAGACATCTGAATACACAAATAAAAAAACCCATTTCCCAGGTCGGAGGACTGACTAGTGCGGACTTGGGCTATCGACCGCCTTTCTATCTAGGCTTGGCCCAGGTGCTTTGGGTGGAGGCCGAGTAGATATTTGATTGGGGAGGATTTACCCACTGTATGTCATTCTCCAGAACCAACAATTGCATTGAGCTGGCCGCATCCATCCATTCTGCCCCCGACTCTTTCTTCTCTATCCAATTCACCAAACCTTGGCCTTGGGCTCATCTATTTCCCGGCTTAGTTTCGCATGACAGATACGCAGTCAATGGGTCGCCCTTAATCACATCTCGTCTCGACAATATGGCTTTCCCCCCTTCTTCCTACCGCCCACGGAAGAAGAGAAAGTTCCCCTTGTCGTCCACCGGGTCAAACAACGCCCTCATTGTGGACGATGGAAACGGCAAACATACTCCTGCATTCCCTTTGGCTTCCTTCCTCTGGGCTGCTCGGGCAGGTGTATCTCAATGGCTCATTCTACCTCTGATTTTGATGGCTGTAGGCCTATTTCGCTGGGCTGTTAGTTTGTGGGGATACTCTGGTAAGCCGAACGATCCCCCGGTGAATGAGGCCTGTCTCTAACCCATGTAGGCTTCCAAGTGCCCCCGATGCATGGCGATTTCGAGGCGCAGAGACACTGGATGGAGATAACAATTAATCTGCCCATGTCAAAATGGTACACATACGATCTGCAGTACTGGGGGCTTGACTATCCACCATTGACTGCATATCATAGCTGGCTGTTGGGAATAATGTTCGTGGATGCTTGATGCCGCGAGATATAGCTGTATTGATGCTGATGATGGCAGTGGTACTCTCTTTGATCCCTCATGGTTTGCTCTGGATGAGTCCCGTGGCTTCGAGGATCCTCAGCTGAAAGTATATATGCGTGCTACGGTGATAGTATCCGAGTATCTTATTTTCATCCCTGCAGTTGTCAATTTTCTGCGCCGTTACACGCAAATGCATGGGGTCCCAGTATGGTCCGCCTCTGTCGCCCTGGTTGCTATCCTTCTGCAGCCGTCGACCATTTTGATCGATCACGGCCATTTTCAGTACAACACGGTGATGCTGGGGTTTGTTGCTGCTAGTCTGGATGCGATCCTGGCAGGGCGCATGCTCTGGGCATGTATCTTCTTTGTAGGTGCCTTGGGGTTCAAGCAAATGGCTCTGTATTACGCGCCCGTCATGTTCGCTTTCCTTTTAGGAATCTGCCTTTTCCCTCGGATTCAGCTCATCCGCCTTCTTTGCATTTCTCTGGTCACAATTGTCGCATTTGCCATCCTTATTGCCCCACTCGTGGTGAGTGCACTTAGTGCTGATGCTCAGAATGAGTCGTCCTCTATTCCGCTGCCTCCCCTACTACAGGCGCTGCCTATCGAGCTAGACAAGAGCTCGATACTTTACGCACCCTTGCTTCAGCTGGCGCAGCTCATCCATCGAATCTTTCCTTTTGCTCGTGGCCTGTTCGAAGACAAGGTTGCAAATGCCTGGTGTGCCATTCACACGTTTTACAAACTTCATCGATTCGAGGCGACTCTACTCCAACGAGTGTCATTGGGTGCTACATTAGCATCAATCTTGATCCCCTGCGCCATAATTCTCCGTCACCCACGTGCCTCTTTTCTTCTTCCGGCCTTGTCCACCGTAGCCTGGGGATTCTTCTTATTCTCTTTCCAGGTCCACGAGAAGAGTGTACTACTACCATTGTTGCCCATGACGCTCATGCTCTCTGGCGATGGAGGTTTAAGCAAAGAAACCCGCGCATGGGTGGGGTGGGCCAACACGCTTGGCTCTTGGACGATGTTCCCTCTTCTGCAGCGCGACGGCCTCCGAGTTCCCTACTTCGTCATGACATTCCTCTGGGCCTATCTACTTGGCCTTCCTCCCGCCTCTCTGGAAGTTTACCGTAGCCGAAGCTCTTCAGATGACTCCTCGCCGCTCCCCGAACCTCACATTATCACCAAACTTGTTCATTTGTGCTTCTATCTTGCCATGGTCGCGTGGCATGTACTAGAAGCCTTTGTTCCCCCTCCGCCTGGAAAACCTGATCTCTGGGTGGTGCTCAATGTGCTTATCGGTGCTGGCGGATTTGGACTTGCGTATCTGTGGTGCCTGCGGAAGTTGATTTTACAGTGCTGGATGATTGGGCGCAAGGTGGAAAAGGATACGCAGAAAAAGAACCAATAATGCACACAAGCGTTTGTTCGTACATTCAAACCATATCGGGAGGTTAATTTGAGAGATACCCATTTCCTTTTCAAGGGCGCCATGCACAGCTCGTGATTTGTATATAACACTTATTGCGCAACCTACACCAACCATATTCTATCTTCACTAAAAGGCCGGGGCAGATTAAAACGAAGCCTTGATACAGAACACTATTTCCATGTCAATCCCCTCACAGGTTTGATCAAGAGTCATATTTTACATTCTAATTTATCTCACATGAAAGGAGAGTTCCCATCAACCATTACAGCAATACACATCTAATATACAGTCTATGCGTAAACCCGAATCCCAAAACACCATGCAGTGAAAACCAAGCTGCGTGCACTTGATCCCGTTCCTGGCAGCGAATAGCCTAGACCTTGAATCCGTATCCAGCCATACAGGCCTTGTACTGTTCAATCATGGACTTGCATTCTTGCTGGGGATCGTCGGATTTCGAGAAGAGCATGCAGTCGTCACGGGCGGTCTTTTCGGTTTTGCAGACGCAGCAGGGCTGTATAAATAATTGATTAGCATCGGGTTTAGGGATGTGTCGAAAAACGTCAGGGTAATCGTACTTTTGGCTTCTCGGCAGGTGCTGGGGTAGGTTCGGGGGTTTTCTCAGTAGAACCTGGGGATTTGTATGTTAATGAATGGACTTGCGGAGAACCGGAAGTCTGGAGAAGTTGGCTTACTGCTGGAACCGACGAGCCACGACATGATGGAAAGGTTGTTTTGAGTGGTTGATGGGAGGAATTGACTGAAGAGAGAGGTGGTAAAATTAGATGGTAGGTTAAGACGCGAGATTGCGAAAGATTGTACTCCGTAGATGAATCAACGAAAAATGATGCTGATTAATGCAATGATGCGATGCGCCAAATGGCGGCACTGGTTGCTGTGGATTCCTGGAGCGGCGATCGCAAGTTTTGTAGTTTTGTTATTGATCAGATTGGGTTTAGCGTGAGATTTTGGGTTCTCTCATTGCAGGTGCATATCATCCCGCTTGACTGGCTTGAAGTTTTTATTCTTCTTTCCTTCGCACTTGCTTTGCTTTTCCACACTCTTTATAAACGCTCACTGGGTTTTTAACTAGATATATTCGTCCTAGACATTATACAGATCACCATATTTGTGTCGTCTTCTCACATTGCCTTATTTTGATACCAATTCCACCCCTGAAATTACCCCGCCATGGCCCCTCCTAAGGTCTTTTCTCTTGAAGGCAAAGGCCTCAAGCTGGACACCGATGTGGATGTCGAAGCCCATATTAAACCTCTGATCGAGAGCACCGACTACACTGAAATCCGTCTTGGTGGCAATACTTTTGGCGTGAAAGCCTGTGAGCGCTTGGGTACCGCCTTTTCCACCCAGAAGAACCTCGAAGTCGCTGAACTTGCCGACATTTTCACCTCGCGTCTGATTGAAGAGATCCCCGACGCCCTGACTCACCTTTTGAATGCGCTCCTTGAGATCCCGACTCTTCACACCGTCAACCTTTCCGACAATGCCTTCGGCAAGCGGACCTCGAAGCCCCTCGTCGACTTCCTCTCTGCCCACGCTCCTTTGCGCCATCTTATCTTGAACAATAATGGAATGGGCCCTGATGCAGGTGTGGAGATTGCTAGAGCGCTGGTGGAGCTTGCAAAGCGTAAGGAGGAGGCCCGCAAGGAAGGGAAAGAGGTCCCTCAGCTGGAAAGCATTGTCTGTGGCCGGAACAGACTGGAGAATGGAAGTATGGCAGCGTGGGCACGTGCATATGAAGTGCACGCCGCAGGAATGCGCTCAGTGAAGATGACACAGAACGGCATTCGTCAGGAGGGTATCTCCCAGCTGTTGAGGGAGGGTCTCCGCCACGCCAGCAGCCTCGAAGTCCTTGACTTGCAGGATAACACCTTCACCATTTTGGGCTCCACGGCTCTCTCAGAGGTGCTTCCAGGCTGGACTTCCCTGCGCGAGCTCGGTGTCGGTGACTGTTTGCTCTCCGCTCGTGGTGGTGTGAAGGTTGCGCAGGCTTTGGCCGGTGCCAAGAACGAGAAGTTGGAAACACTTCGTCTGCAATATAATGATATCACGGCCGAGGGTGTTAAACAGTTCTTGCACGCGACCAAGACCGCACTGCCTTCGTTGCGCCGAATTGAGCTAAATGGAAACAAGTTTATGGAGGACGACGACAACGTCAATGAGTTGCGCGAGGTCCTGGAGGCTCGTAAGGAAGAGCACGGCAAGGATGACGACCCGGAGGAGATGTGGGGTGTGGACGAGCTGGATGAGCTCGAAGAGGAGAGCGACGAAGAAGAAGAGGAAGAGGAAGAAGAAGAGGAGGAAGAAGAGGAGAAGGCCGAGAAGTTTGTGAAAGACAATGTTCAGGCTGAGGAGGCCAAGGTCGCTCAGAAGCAGGACAAGGACGTTGATGAACTTGCCGAGGCTCTGGGAAAGACTGGTCTGTAAACACGCCCTGGCTTGACCGATCATTCGCCTACTCCCGTCATTTCCCATATACCCGATGCAGCGGCGGTACCTACTTGCGCGCAGGAGCTGCGGTCATGTCTAATGATGTGTCTAGGACCGGCTGGCATGCGTCCGTTGGTTACGGTCAAAAGAGTTCACAACAATGAGCTCCGGAAAAGACCGAGTCAACGTGCCAGTTGAAGTTGCCCTAACACCGCCCGCCGTGAGTTGCACCCGCGCTTGGATACGGCTGACGTCCTTTGTTTTATGCTTCATGTCCCCTTGTCACGCTCGCATCTTGGTATTTTTCAGGGACATTAGATTAGACAACTATTGGCCTGTTCCAACCATACGACTTAAATTTTGCCCCAGTGATGTATATAATGAATCAAAAATGAGAACGAAATCTACACGCAAGAGGTGTTACGTAGGAAAGAAATAAGTAATTCATCTTGGGGTTGATCTGGACATAGATACTGAGATAGTTAAGCTAACTTGTGATAGATACAACCCTAGACAGTAGTACATCTTATTCGTTTGCATGTAAAGCTCTCCAGATTTATCTGTCATTGTTCAGAGCATGTTTGATATTATCTAGGTTAGGCCTGGTGGTCCGTTGCCACTAAAGGCCTCCTGTGGATCATGTTTCTTCAACTCACACCAAAGGTGGTGATTCTCCCCTGGCTGGGCGTCTTCTGCACATATCCCTAAAGAAGGTCATCCCATTCCATTCTCTTCGTTGCATCTTTGCCACCATGCCGTCCTGAAGCACGGTAGTACAACCTAGCCAGTTTCTTGCAAATTCTGACAGTGCGGACTAGTTCACATTGATTGTATAGACTAAATAGTAAACCATACATCAGCCATCCAGAGCCTCGATAACCTATGTCAGGCTAATCAAGAAAAGCAGGCGGCTCTAGCGGAGAGGGAAGGAACGAAGGGGAAGTGGTACTCTTCTTTGAATCTAAGATCTATCTGCGCTTTTGTGGCCTTGGTGAAGCGCCCTTGAATTCGGTAATTCTGATAACCGAAGTCATGGCGCTCGCATGCCCGCTGAAAAGGGAACCCAAAGGGGTTGCTTGGAGCCTTTGTGCAGCCATCAGAGTACCAGTCTAACTGAGGAGGGTCGTTTGCCTCTCTGCGAGCAGTGAAATCAGGCAGCTCGATGCCAAAAAGAAGCTCGTCAGTAATAGACTGGAGGCCCTGGCTTTCTGAAAGGCTTGTAGCGCCGTCATTTGGCGTGGGGAGCGGGAGGGCCAGGGCGGCTGGGAGGAGGGCAATGAGAAAGCTGTTAACCTTCATTGCATTATCGAGGTTATAGAGAGTTAGGGGGTTGACTAGTCAAGCACAAATAAAGGATTGAAGCTTGTAGCACCCCAAGAATGATATGTAGGCTGACGAGAGCCGTACACCATATATGGGTAAGAGTGTGAGGATCAGAAACATAGAGGAGAGAGCAACTTCTGCTCTTTCTATTTGTGGTCAGATGCTGCCTTATGTGAACATGATCTCAGTTTGTTCTTGCCCGGTGGTAGGCATCAACGCATCACAGTGATGACATGCTATACTGTTATCGCGCTTAACCATATCATGCTTAACCCCCAACTGACCCAAATATTACTGGCGCCAGTCCACTGGGCCAGCAGTAGTAATTCCAGAGAGCCTTGGATTGTAGCGAAGACTCTTAGCCTAAGTCATAGCCTTGACTCCGACCCATTGACATAGTCAATAAAGTTTATGCCAGGTAATACTGGAAAATGAAGTTAGGTATAATAGGCACCGCTCTTCTTTGAGAGTACTTGTATAACTATAACTATAACTACATAGTGTAGACGGGAGATCGGAACCGGAGAAACAGCTCGGGGGAAGACAGAGATTCTGCCATGTCTTACCGTCTTTCGCCCTTGTTGAGCGTCCAGAGGCCGATAGGAGACCATTCCGAAACAGGCAATTTAGGCTTGGCGTGGAGTATTGGGAATCGCGCGGAATCGCTGCCTTTATAAATTAATTCCGACTTTCACCTCTTCTTCCTCCACTCCATCCTGGATACCATCTCCTCAATCCCCCCTCTCGTTCGACCCCGTGTGTGAGGAGCGTTTCAGCATTCGCTCGTCCCAAACCGCACCTGCGATCATTTGCGCCGGCTCTTGAACGTTACGGTGAACTTTGTGAAGAGTGAGTGCTAAATCCCCCTCTTCCTTGCATCCCATTCACCATCATCTGCCGTCGGTTACTGCCAAAGCTATCCGGGCGCCTGGTACAGCATATTACTCGCGCATAAAATGGAGACGATTCATGATTTTGCATTAACGGAGTTTCCTGAAGAGGCACGTGCGCATGGGTTGTCCCGCCATACTCCAGTACCCGGCGACGTCAGCCTTCTTTTTTCTGAGAGATGGGTAGCTCGGGAAGCTTCGTATTCTCTATTGGTGATCCCATGAGCGGTCGCCTTCATCTAAAATCTAGCGCTCATAAGATTCATAGTCTTATGCTGGCTTGACTGGTCATTTTATCTCGGAATTTTCTGTGTTTTGCGCTAATCATAGAGTTTCGCCTGACAGGTACTTCGAAGTCTCCTGCCTCTCGTTTAGATCACATTGACATCATGCCCTTGGAAGCGAAGGAAATTGAGCTCAAGGCGAAGGCCTTGACGAAGGCCGCCACTCAGAATGAACCAGCAGCCAACATTGTATCCTTGCTTAAAGAGCTTCAACAAGGTGTGAAGGCGACGGAGGATCTGCTGCGATCCACCCGTGTGGGAATCATCGTCAACAAGTTCAAACAGCACAAGTCACCCGAGGTCTCCCGCTTATCCAGTGAAATCGTGTCCAGGTGGCGGAATGAAGTCAACAAGCAAAAGGCGAGTGGATCGCCCGCGCCCAGCCAGCGTTCAAGCAATTCGCCGCGCCCGGCTCAGAACGGAACCGCTTCACCTGCCGGTACGACGCCTACAGACAAAGCGTCCAAGTTGTCGGTTGCCCCGGATAAACGTACATGGAAGGCAGATGGTGTGGATGTCAACCAGACGGGAAGTAAGATTCGTGACAGCTGCATTGGGCTGATGTATGATGGACTGTGTCTGAACTCGACGGAATCTCCGCGTAACGTTCTGTCCAAGGCGTCCGCCGTGGAGGCCGCAGCATACAAGTCCTTGGGCCCCGAGACCAAAGAGCAGTACCGTACCAAGATCCGCAGTTTATTCCAAAACCTCAAGAACAAGTCGAATCCAACTCTCCGCATCCGTGTCCTCAGCAACGACGTGACCCCCGAGCAGTTCGTGCGCATGTCACACGACGAGCTGCGCTCCGATGAACAGCGCGAGAAGGACGCAAAGATCCAGAAGGAGAATATGGACAAGGCAATGGTCGCCCAAGCAGAGCGCAGTATCAGTACCAGTCTGCAGTGCGGCAAATGCGGACAACGCAAAGTCACATACACTGAGGCCCAGACGCGCAGTGCAGACGAACCGATGACTTTGTTCTGTACTTGTCTGAACTGCGGAAAGTCCTGGAAGCAGTAACTTCTTTCTTCCTCACTCCTCACTCTTCCACTTTTTTATCTTCCTCCGATTTATTGTTCCATTTCATCTTCTTACCCCACCTCATCTTTACTTTCTATAGTTGTTTTATCGAGTCTGTCCAATTACGCTACGGCGTGGAGTTTGGTTGCTTAAAAGAGGTCCTCATTCTCGGGGGGCAAGCAGGTTGAGCCCCGCGAGGTTTTTTTTTTTTTTTTTATCGTTACCATTACATTTTGACTATTTAGTGCCGGTAGATAGATGATTAACGAAGTGCGTTGACTGCTCACAATCAATCAATTAATCCACCAAGACAACAAACAACATAAGATGATATTAATATCGAACCATACCATCGACGTCATAATGAAAACACTCCCCTCACCACAACCTCAAATAACAACAACAATCACCATCACCAAAACAACCAAATCCCCAATCCTCAACCCAATCTATAAGAAAGAAAAGCCCTCCCTCCCCCCAACACTCAAAACAATACAAAAAGTAAAAGAGAGAAGAAAAGGAAAAAAAAAAAAAAAAACCCAAAGATGTCCAAACGAACCTCACTCCTCACGCGCACGCGCACACTATGCCAAAACTTCTCCTCCAGCGCTCCCCTCCCAACGCTCCTCTCAAACTTCACCCAAAACACTCCACCCACAGCCCTCGAACACGGTCTCCCGCAACTCGCCCCTTTCCTTGGGCGCCCTTTCACCGGCCAGGAAGGACTACGACACTACTTCGGACTTTTGTCTGAGCTGCTTACGATTGAGAAGATGGATTTCGAGCCGGAGGAGAAATGGGTGGTGGATGAGAGGGCGATGGCAGTTTCGTTGAGGGGGGAGGCGAGGTTTCGGTGGAATGAGACGGGGCAGGCTTGGGATGAGACGTTTGCGTATCGGATTGGGCTTGCGGAGGAAGGGGGGGAGGTGAAGGTTGTGGGGTATGAGGTTTGGGCCGATACGGGGGCGGCGTATTTGGCTAGGGTTGGGGAGTTAGAATAGGGGGTTTTATCATGTGTATTTCATGCCTCTCTTATTTTGTTTCCTTTTACTTGTTTGGTTGGGGAAGAAGGGAGATGTATGATATGATTGAGAGAGAAGGTATGTGTATTTGGAGTATGATAATAGTAATTGTATCAGTTCTTGTCTACATTCCAGTCGATCCAGCCGATGTTCCCCGATTTCCCGTCTGGATACTGGAAGACTCTTGCTGGGGAGCTGTATCTCGAGTATTCTTTGTCGTCCATTACTATCGTGACGTTTCCGTCTTTTCGGCCTGTGGCGTTGAAGCCCGGTCCGAAAGCCTTGTACTCGGCCATGACGGTATCCTTGTTCAAGCGACCCTCGCCATCGACGATCCAGTCGATGTACCCAGCTGGAATGATACTTGCGTCTTCGGAGGTGCGCGCGAATATAGACCGGTGCTGGCTATTCCATGGACGGCCCAGGGCGCATTTACCCCGGATATCGGGGGCTATGGATGCATTGGCTGCCTTGACGGTAGAATCGACGATGTACACGCCGTAGTTGTTGGTGAAGGTAGTGTTGGTTCCTTTCCAAGCTGTGATACCGCCGCCGCAGTTGCGCAGAAGAATCTCAGACGATTGAATCCAGGCGGTGCCGAAGCCGTAGAGAAAGTCAGTTTGGCCGGCGATGATGCTTTTGTGGAAGTAGGCGTTGCCCAGTTTACCCACGTAAACCTGAGTTCTTTGGTTAGGTTCAGTTCACACTCGACTGCAAGAGAGGGGAAAGCGTACAGTATCCTGGTAAGAATAGAACCCGCAGTGATAGAACCCACCATTGGCGCGACTGAAGCTGATCGCATGCGCCGGCCCATCGGAGTAGTCTCGCCATGTATTCGTGAAATCAATATTGTATGCCCGGAAATCGACGTTGCCGAACGGTGTATCCTCTGGTACAGGATATCCTGTCGTGCCCGATCCTGTATAGCTTGATTCCAGCGTGGGCGCGACGGTCAGGACGCTTGAGAAGACATTATCCACTGCCTGGCCGGTATTGTCATGGTTGGCTTGGGCCCAGGTAAGAGTGACTTTGTTTTTGGTAGCATTGTTAGGGTCATCAGTCTGTCCGAGGAGCGTAACAGGCCCGGACCGAGTAACATTTACTTGCTCCTTATACGTTCCTGGGAGGATGAGGATGGTTTGGGTGGTGTTATCATTCGGGAGGGAAAGGATGGCGTCTTGCACAGTGGTGAAATGGGCGGAGGGGTCGGTCTTGGAGACAAGAATTGTTCCTTCAGGACAGCTGAGGGCCGTTTGACAGGCATATCTAGAAGTTTGGAGAGGGCTTGCAGATGCGAAAAGGGCACCGAACAGGAGTGATAGCCCCGGTGAACGCATGGTAACCAGGTTGTATGGTGGGAATCCGCTGGTATGAACAACCAATCCCTCTCACACGCATCCCCGAAATGCAGTGTGAATCTTTTATACTTCATATCGGAAAATCTGTCTCATGTTCTTTTACCCCGGGAAAAATTGCGGGGAGACACATAGCAGTAAACTCAACGCGGATCAATACCGTTGGTCAAGCATACGCAGCCAACTCCGACTGTCACAAGGCTTATCCATAGCCCAAGAGCTTGTATAACTACCTAAGTCACTAATTGGACGAATCTGGGGGTTCTGGGGATTTGATCACTCCGCATTTGGGCGTAAATTTCCCCAGACCAGGAGACGGAGAAATTCGATGTAGTAATGCGGAGAATTGCTTTCCACCTGTTAGCATCTTTAGTCCAAGGATTAAAGAACGGGAGAATTATTTCGTATATGGAGTTAAGTATAACACGACCGGTATGTCAATTATGGATTGTAACTTTGAGAGGCTTAATCATTCTACCGCTTAGAATCAATCATATACCCAGTATGAGGTGGTCCTAAGGTGATGTCGCTATGCGGGGTGCCGTATGTACAAGACATTGAGGAAGAGAGCACGGGCATAGGCTCAGACGGCGCAGTTTCACATAGAGCGGCTGAGTAAAGAGGCAGATGTACTCTTTGTAGGTGAACAATAAAGACAAAGCAGTAGCATATCATGAGTCCACTGTGTTTTGAATTCACCAAAACGTCACGGTACTCCGGCAGGTGACTTTCCACTTTGGGACAACATCGGACCACTTTCAGGCCAGGCGAACTGGTGCCTCAGATTACAGGCCAACACAATCATCCCACTGAGGGATTTTCTGCTTCTTTCCTTCTGTTTCCTTCTTTCACATGGACCCCCAATACCAGAGCGGGGCGTACCTTGCAGCAATTGTTCATATGATCAATACTACACAGTAGGCGCATAGTCCGTCGCGGTGGACCGAACCCACCACAGCTTTTGAGCTACTTAGCTGGCCAGCTCAGCTCCAAAGAACGCTAGCCCAAACTACACAGTACTACTACCCACTCCGACTACTCAGCTTGCATGATTCAGATATTCGAGAATCAACCTCGGTGTTTTCGCTCTATCGGGCGGTCTCCGAGGGGTAACTGTTACGTAGTCCGCGCGGTTGAGATAATGAGGGCCCACCGTACCTGCCAAGAGGGGCTCTGGGTGCGTTGAGTGGACCGTGTCTAAGATGAGACTGAGCGCAGTCCAGATTTGCCGATCCGAATAATTGTCAGGGGGAGGGGAAAAAAAAAAAACCCCCCAAGGTGACCTGAGCAACGGGCGAGGGAAAGAAAAAAGGAAAAAAGAGGAAGGAAACATAAATCAAAATAAAAAGAAGTTGAAGAGAAATTAAGAACAAAAGAGAGAAGATTGTTAGGCAAGTTGATTTACTAGAAATGTAAAAGAGAGAAAAAATTCTTTGGAAACCCTTGATTTGACTAATTTACCACTATTAATGACATACATACATGATAAAAGAAAGGAAAATTCACTCTATAAACGTAGAGCAAAGTAATAAAGGCATAAAAAGTCTATAATACGGGGTAAAATAATAAAGCCGGTGCACCAGCTCATGCATGTATGCTCAAGTGATATCCAGATCGGATAATATTAAAGGAAATGAGCGTAATCAAGCGTTTACTCTTCCTCTTCAACCTCAGCACGGGCACCCAGCATGTAGCGGGACTTGCCGTGGGCGTCAACCTCGTGCTCAATAGCCAGCTTGGAGAGGTGGCTGAGCATGTTCTCGATCTTGGTGTCAGCCTTGGAACGGTTCTTGCGGCCAAGGTTGTCAAGAGCGGGGATGATGGTGAGGAGGTAGTAGACGACAGCAATGATGATGGTGACACCGATGGAGTAGGCCCAAATGACGACGACAGTGACAATGTCGACGTCACCGTTGACGGAGAACTCAGCCTGGCTGGGAGGGCTGGTCTGCTCGTAGTCACCAGAGAGCCAGCCGAACACACAGAACAGGGTGGAGAGGACATCGACAACGAAGATAGCACCGACCAGCTGCCAAGAGGGCCAAGTCTTACCACCACGGGTAACGAAAATCAGCCAGTTCTCAGTAAGAGCAACCTCAAGGAAGAGGATTTCCTGAGGAGAACCGAAGTTCTCGATGATACCACCGTTGGAAAGGAAGAGAGAAGCACGGATGATCCAGGTGGCAGCGGCAAGCAAGATACCAAGGATGACGGAGATGACCCAGATCTTAGGAAGCTGCCACTCGACGGGACGCTGCTCGAAGTGGGCGTTATCGTAGGCGATAGCAATAGTAGCCAAGTCAGCGAAGAGGGCAATGAAGACAATAAGATCAGCACGCATGGTCTCCTCGATGATAATCATGGAGGTAACGAGGTAGATCTCAAGGTGGAGACACAGAGCAATACGGTACTGAATGTAAGCCTTCATACGCTGGAAAATCTGACGAGCGAGCTTGATAGCATCGACGATAGTGGAAAGACCAGGGGCAAGGAAGACAATATCAGCGGCGGCCTGGGCGGCTTCAGTGGAACCCTCGACGGCGATACCACAGTCAGCCTTCTTGAGGGAAGGAGCATCGTTGACACCGTCACCAGTCATGGCAGTCAAGTGACCACGCTGCTGAAGCATCTCGACGACCTGGTACTTGTGCTCGGGGAAGACCTCAGCGAAACCATCAGCCTTCTCAACAAGGTCGTACTGGGCAGAGCCAGCAAGACCACCGTGGATAAGACGCTCAGAGTCGTAGACCTTGGTGCTCAGGGCAAGCATCTTGCAAGTTTCCTTAGCAATGGCAAGAGCATCACCAGTCAACATCTTGACGGAAAGACCAAGGTGCTGGGCCTCAGCGATGGTGTGAGCAGTATCCTCACGAGGGGGGTCAAACATGGGGTACATGCCCAGAAGTTGCCAGGGCTCACCCTCCTTCTGGACGGCAACACCAAGGGAACGGAAACCACGGCGAGCGAATTCAGCAGACTTCTCACGGAACTTGTTGGCCTCCTCCTCGGAGCACTCAGACATGTTGAGGATAGCCTTGGGAGCACCCTTAGCACAGACGTAACGGACACCGTCGCAAGTACAGATGGTGGTGATACGCTTGGAGACGGGGTCGAAAGGAGTGTACTTCTCGGTAACCCAGTTGCGGGCGAGGATCTCACGAGCCTTGGGGTAACGACGGAGAGTAAGAATGGTAACCTTGTCGATGGGGTCGAGGTTCTTGACGTTGTGGTTAGAGGCAATAGCAGCAACAGCCATCATCCAGTTAACATCAACACCCTCGTTGACGTAAGGCTCACGGATGGAGAGCTGGTTGGCAGTAAGAGTACCAGTCTTGTCAGAGCACAGGATGTCAACACCAGCAAGGGATTCGATGGCAGTGAGCTTCTGAACAATGGCCTTCTGCTCAGCCAGGTAGGCGGCACCGACAGCCAGGGTGGTGGTGGTGACGACAGGGAGACCGACGGGGACACCAATGATCAACAGAATGAGAGTCCAGCGGAGCAAGATGTTCTCGTCGTTCTCAGGAGTAGCGATCCTGACGTGACGGTAGAAACCACCGATCCAGGCAGCGAGAATCCAGAACATGACGAGAACCAGGAGAGAAGTACCAATGTTGTCCATGACAGCCTTGAAGTGACCGGAATCAGAGGCACCCTGGACGAGGGCAGCGGTCTTACCGACGAAAGACTGCTTGGCGGTAGCGACAACAATACCGTAGGCCTTACCACGCTTGCAACCAGTGGTGTAGTAGCAAGTGTCAGCCATGTACTTGTCGACAGCAAGAGATTCACCAGTGATGGCGGACTGGTCAACGGCGACCAGAGAGACGCCAGCACGGGCCTCAATGCCAGTTTCGTCCTCGTCGTCATCCTTCTCCTTGAGGGTATCATCGTTGGCGGTGGCGAGGTATTCCTTGTAGGTCTCGAACATCTCGGGCTTGGAGTAGTCACAGATAAGGCGGACATCGGCAGGAACGACGGTACCTTCCTCGACAACGACCTGTAGAGGCAATTGGTTAGTCAATGAATTCCAAAGCGTAGAAACATAACCAGCCAAGCACATACGATATCACCAGTAACAAGCTCACGAGCAAGGATCTCCTGCTCTTGTCCATCACGAATAACAATAGCCTTCATGGCAATGTCACCCTTCAGAGAAGCAACAACGTCGGCGGCCTGCTTTTCCTGATACCAACCGACAACAGCGTTAAGCATAAGAATACCAATAATCACACCCAAATCGATCCAGTCACGCAGACCAGCAGCGAGCAAAACAGCAAGTTCCATAACTAGTAGGTTATTAGCGGGGCTGCAATCCTTTCCAAACACATTGCTGTCGAAAACATACCATAGAGAATAGGACCACGGAAGTAACCAATGAACTGAACGAAGAAGTTGGTCTTCTCAGTAGTCAGTTCGTTCCAGCCAGTGCGCTTGCGACGAGCCTCAATATCAGCGCCACGGAGACCAGCACGCAGGTCGGTCTCGAGCCACTCATCGGGGCAGACGAAGCCTTCCTCAACACCATCGCCTCCCTTCTTCCAGAACTGCCAGCTCTTCTTCGCCTTCTTGGTGCTCATAGCACCAGCAGAAGAGGTCGAGCCACGGCGCTTGTCGCGAGCAGTCGAGATATAACGGTTAAGAGCGGCATACTCATCGAGGTTGGCGCCATCACGGTCACCATTCTCCACGTCGGGAGCATAGGAGATTCTCCGCTCCGCCATTGTTGCTTCGGCTCACACAGCCTTTGGGACCCAACAATATGAGCAGATGCAAACAAAGTATGGCAGGAATGGCAAGAGTCGGAATTCCTATAGAGAGAAGAAGAAGAAGGGAGGGGAGAGGGGTGGAAGGGATGTACTCTTTAATATGTCTGGATGGGGGGGGTGAGCGAGATTGATTTGCACGGGACCTGAACAAACACGTCTTGGTCTCTAAGCTCCAACGGGCGACCTTCCCTGTGCGTAAGCCCACTTTTTTTTTTTTATTTGGGTTCTAAGTTTCGGGGTGGTGTGGCCGGGTGCAGTAGCCACTTTGATCGAAAGTTCACTGTCCCTGAAAGGCCGACCCGACCTCCGACCCTCTTTGGTCCAATCTTCCTGCGCACACACATTTTTGCTTAACGGGACGTCCTCGCGAGCAGTTTTTTTTTTTTTAATTTTTTCCACCTTCACATATTTCTCATTTTTCATTTTCGCCTTCCCTGAATGGCTGAATTCTCCAAAATATTTGTGGGCCCCTTACCGCATCCAGTTTAGCCTTACCCTTTGGAAAACTCTTACCTTTCCATATTAACACGATGGTACGCCGCCTTACGCCTCTGGTGCCTTGTCCTCTATGCTCAATGGGGTAATCTCTACTGTACGGTTAGTCTCCATGACCGGCAGCTCTGTGCCGAGTTCGCCCCCCTCTCCTCCACTCTCTCCATACACTTCACAGTAAGCGTAAACCACGGGCGATGAGAGGATTCTGGGGTGTCATGGTACGTTGCAATACATCGGTAAAATCGGCCACAGGGCAAAATGCCACCCCATGGAAGGTATGTGACTTGTAAAATACCATACCGCTTGGCCCGGTCTCCATCGGTCTAGTTATCGGCGAGTCTCTCGCTCTCGTACCTGACTCTGGGGGTGTGATTGTGG